TGCAGTTCAAGGACTTCATTCTCCAGGTGCTACTCTAGCAGAAACCTATAAGCATGCTCCCCACCTCTCCCAAGCCCAGCAAGACCATATTTTACCTGCAGGAACAGTAGGGAAGAGAAACCCAGGGAAATAACTGGGACTTGAACATACTCTTTCAAAGAACATTGCCAAATGAGAAAATAAAACCAGATCAGGTGGTAGCATTCAGGAAAGACTGTATCAAGTGCATGCATGGGGACAATGTCAACAATTCATCTACAGCACTGCAAAGTCATCAGCCATAAATTAAGAGGAGAATAAGATTAGTTGAATGAGACATTTCTCAGATAATTACCCCAAAGCCTGGAGCAGCCAAACAGTAATAGATCAGATTTTCCTTTTTTTTTTTCTTCAAGCAGAGATACGAGAGGCTCTGCAAGAGGCAAAGAACTTTGATCAGGAAGAATTTCAGTGTACCGGGAACAACAACCGCACAAAAGCCATTACAGCCAGTCCTCTTACGTAGTTTGCTGAGCAGTTCCTTTGGGCCGAGGCCATTCTGGAGCCAAGTCTACGAAATGTGCTTGATAAAGAAAACTTTGCAGATAGGAAGCATTTAATCATCTAACGACCGCAATATCTTTACACCCAAGATACTCACGCGGAACAAAGTTGAAGTCAGACAGAGCTGTTGTGGCACAGGCTGGGAGGGCAAGTTCAAGGCAACAAAAACATTCCCAAGAGTGGAGGACAAGCTAGCAAGCTGTACGGATTTGAACCCCTAGTCCTTTCCCCCCTCCATGCTGAAAATTAATTCTCAAAATCTCTCCTTGGCCCCTCCCTGTGGCTTTGGAGTCTTCTGATAAAAGCAGTGATGATCAAAAACACACTAAGTAGAAATATTTACATTCTGTGATGTGCTCACGTCATTCTTGTGCACGACGCAGCCTCAAACCACAGAGGAAAGCTGCAGCCAGCACTGCAGTCTCAAGTGGGTGCATCTGGGGATGGAGGGGAGGAGGAGGAGGAGGTGGGGGAAAATCTCAAGAGATGGTCTTTTTGCTCATCATCCCTCACCGCCTGCATCTCCAAGACTATTAAAATTCCAGATTAGGAACCAGCCTCCCCCCACTTTGTTGCATTCGTAAGACACAGCTTGCTCTTGGTCACTTCAATTGGTTCTGCGGGGCTGGGAAGTGAAAACTTGATTTAATCCAGAATCAGATGCAACTCAAACACGGAAAAAAAGCAAGTAGGATTGTGAGACAGTTTCCAAGGTGCTTTCCTGACCTAATCAGATGCCGAAATTTCCGCGTCTGCATTAAGCAACTGGGCAGCGCTTACGTTTTCACCTTACATGTTCGTTGTTCTTTAGCCGTCCACGCTCTGTACTTTAGAACGAGGATCTACGAACATGTAGGGGATGGGAGTACATACTGCGGGCCCTCCCGACTTATCGGAGCTTGGGCAAACAAACAAAGGTCGGCGTTTACAACAGGGGCCTCGCTGTAACCATGCCAAACCTGCAGCGTGAGGATGGCCTCCCCTTTCGCAGGTGCATTTGGAGGAACTGATGGCTCTCAAGGTCCATTTGCAACCTCTGCTACCATTCTGAAGCCATGGCTCTTCCCGCTCATGCTTATGGATGTGGTACTCAGAGTACCTCTTGAAACAGCCAAGGACCACTTGAACCTGTTTCAGCACAACTAAATACAGAGGCAACAAACCAAGCCACACTCAAAACTTGGCCAGCTTGAGAAGCAAAGAGGATTGGGCTTTCTGAGTTCCAGCGCAAGCCACTGAGCATGCACTTGGTTGGTGGCCCTTGAAAACAGGGTGATAATTTTGGCTCTGCCACTGATCTGCTGTGTGACCTCAGGTGCATTGCTTCACTCTTCTCTGCCATGGTTACAGGTTTAGAGGCTGGCAGAGACTCCGAAAACACAGACTATTTCACCTGGATGGGTTTTTGTGTACCCCAAAAACCACACCCACTGGCAGTAAGCTGAGCTGTGAAATCCAAATACACACCCATCCATGAGTCACAAGCAGATCACACAAGCCACTCTGCATGGCCAAAAATTAAATTACGGACTAAACAAATCCTGAGCCCTCCTCCAGGACTTCCAGTAGTGTGCAATGGTCACGACGAACACAGGGCGGGGGTAACTGTCGGTGTCACTTCTAAGAAGTAAAATCTGATGAGAAGCATTTACAAATTCTAACCTGAGAGTTTTATGCCATGGAAATTATCTGGAGTTCTGACAATACAATAACTCTGACCCTGACATAACTGCATCTGGGACAACAGTTCAGGCCCATCTTTAATTACAGTGCTGCAGAGAGAGTAAGCCACGGTTATCAGATCATAGCCAAATTGTTGACACTGAGGAAGCTTTCTGCAGGACAACACTGTTACGCTGGCCACTGAGAACACTTAAGGACGTTATTTCCATAATGTACAGTACATCACCAGTGCTATATTATTTGCTAACATAGGCATTACCTAGGCAGATCTTAGATAAGTTTAAGCAGCTTGCCTGCCAAGTGCACACATAATCCCTGCTCTTCTATGCAGGAAATGCTGTAACATTTGAAATGCATGCTGAGTTTCGTTTCCTCGGCTCCCTCAGGGGGAAAAAATGCCCACAAGTGCTGTAATACATGCTCTGTACTAGGCCAAAAATTCTGAAGACGACCCTCCAGTCATCTCAGTGTGCAATCAATCGAGGGAAATCATCGAGAGAGAGAGACAGAGTCAGGAAATTAGACACTTAATGGCTGCTGACATTGATCACTAAGTCTCAGAACAGGAGACAAAGTAATTCTGCTTTTACTACCTCCTTCCAATGGAGAATTCAAAACTAAAGTAAAACCAAACCCAAATGAAGACCTGCTGGTGAAAGATGACATATCAGCAATCTCTAGAAATGCACATCCGCTGGCCAGGGAACAGGAACAAGACACCACCATATAGACCTCGGCTCTAAATTTAGGGATTATCTCCGTGGTTGAGTAGGTATCCAAGTCTCCAGGCTATTCTTTGACTTTCCAGCTGATGTTGCCAAAGAGAAAGGATTGTCCAGTGGTTAGTGCACCAGTACAGGATGCAGGACATTTGGGGTCAGGTCCCTGTTGTGTCAGTGTGTGATGCTAGGTAGTTCACTGCATCCCACTGTGCCTCAGCTCCCTGTCTATGAAATGGCTTTAATAACAATGCCCTCCCTTGTAAGAGCACTGGAGAAGTAACTGCATTAAAGACTGAGAAACATACAGGCATGATGGGGATGGGGGCTATAGAAATACCTACAAGAGAGAGAGCACAGGACATTTTCAAAGGCAGCTTTGGACACTGAGCAGTCATAGGCCCCTTTGAAGCCCCAGCCTCAGTGTCCATTTTATCAGAGATCATTGCCATATGGGCCGCTGTCCATTTTGATAGACCACTGACCCACTCTGCAGCTGGTGAAACTGGAGCAGGAAATACAGTGACTAGAACAGAAGAATCCTAGGTTCAGGGCCTTTCTCAAGACTTGTGCTGATGGTCAGCTTCAATCAGCCCAGCTGTATATGGGTATCCCACCACCCAGTCTGAGGTGGCTGGCTGCAGTGGTAGCCACGTCATTCTCTTGCGAGTACTGGCTACAGAAAACTGGTGTGCTAGTCCAGTATGGCCAGCTAGGTTTGCGGGCACCTCTGACCCTGATGCCTCATGCCCTTCTTCCACGCTTGAGGATGATGTTATTGTTTAGGATGTAGACACACAAACACACCCATACCAGATGCTTTTCAAACACCAAAGACAAGTTCCTCCCTTGCAGAGGGCTTTTCCTCCTTCTCTTTTACACAGATAGATATACAGAGAAGTGATATACTTTTCAATTGTCAGACAGCACGAGAGGCAGAGCTGGGAAGAGAACCAGATCCTCCTGATGCCCCATCTGCTGTTTTAGCCAACGGACAGTCCTGCTTCCAACACCACTTTCCACAACCGCATATAAATAGCTTTAAGTCACTAATGACTCAGCCTGGATTCAAACCAGCAACCAAAAGTGAAAACCTCCCTGCTGCCAATGGCCTGATCATGCCCTCTCCTCTCAAATTAACAGCTCACCCAGTATGAAGCGACTTTTATTTTCTTAATACAAGTTGGTTGTTTTCAATTAGGTGTCTCATGACATGCTGTTTATACAGTTAAGTGTCTCTTTTATGGGCCCAATTTACTGTAATATCTCAACATTAAAACGCTGTGTGATTAGAGATTATGCAATGTCTTAGAAGCAGTGAGATAGAGCCCCACTATCAGCGGCCCAGAGCGCAATCTTTAGTGTGTTTATCCTCACAACACCTCTGTGAGGTAGGACAGGGCCATTCACCCCATTTTTGAAGGGGAACAGAAGCAGAGAGATGCCAGGACCCAGATCCTCCCAGGTACTTAGGTGCCTGACTTCTACTGATGTCAGAGGAGAGCACTGGAGAGCAGCGTCTCTGAGATCAGCCCAGATGGTCGCAGTGGTGGCTGCTGACCTTGAAAAAAAACAAAACACTTTAGTTTTAGTTTCAATGGGAGCTCGGCCCAGATTCTCAAAGGGATTTAGGCGCTTAAATAACGTGCCCAAAGGGACACAGGGCATGAAATTTAACCCACATTTCACAAAGCCAGGCTAGCACCCTCCCAACTGGATCAGCTGCTTTTTGTGGAGAACAGGAAGGCAAAACAGGAAAAGCTGGATGCCATTAAAAGAGATCACTCGCAGCACTCCTGCTTTCCCTGCACACTCCCCACCGCTCCTGCCTTGCAAATGGAAAGAGTTTTGCTTTCTCCTCTGGCTTCCCCCTCCACATCTCATCCTTTGCTTCAGTTGCAGCCAAAATGGGATGGGACTGTCTCCCAAATTTGGCTGATGTGGCCTGACCTGCATCACTGGTTTGAAAGACTGTTGGCATGAGAGAGACAGCCCCAGTTTCCACAGTCACAAGCAGTTGATCTCCCACAGGTAACACAAGAGTGAGGTCCTTACCAATGGCTCCGTACGAAGTTAAGCAGCAGGATGATCAACCCCAGGCAGTAGCACGCAGTGTAGGGAGAGCCAAAGACCCTGCTGAGCGCTCTGGTTCTGTGTTCCCATCTTGCTACCTACAAGGACGAAAGAGAAGAATGCTGAGCAGGGAGACACACGTTCATGCTGGTGCCGAAAAAGACCCAGGTTTCTTTACAGGAGCCAAGTACAACGTGCATACCGTCAGCTGGGGAATCAACCGGGATGGAGCAGCAAACACTGAATGGAGTTGGCTTAACCAGACCTTCCAAGCTCTAGTTTTTGGGAAGCTCTTGGGACACCTATTCATGCACTGGTCTTTCCATCAGGTTAGATCATGAAAGACTCATCCCCAGTGAAGGCAGGAATGGACAGCCTTCAGAGGCTCAATATATTAGGTCAGATTCTACTGTGTTGTAGGGAGGGGAAAATACCGAACTAGAGAAATTCCTTTTTTCCTAGAGCTCTGTACACACGGATTCTTCCACTTCCCCAGTTTTCTTGCTCTGGTACAGCCCAATGTACTGAAAAAAACCCTGGCCTGTCCCCAGACTTTATTTATACTTTGGAAGCCATTCCAAAATGCAAGCTCCAGGCCTCTCAAATGACATGCTCCCCTGGAGAGAAGAGAAGCTCCCATGCACACGTGCCCTGACAAATACCTACCTCACGCTACATAGAGGCAAGCGCACCTGGCCAACAAAGCTTGTAAAGCAACCAACTCAATCCCAGCTCCTCGCTAAGATTGTGTTCTGACGTCTACTGAAGTCAGCAGGACCCTTCTTAAAGACTTCACTGGGCTCTGGATTAGGCCTGGCTCTGTTGACATGTTACCTCCAAGGTCCATCTTTTGCAAAGTGCTTCAAGATGGAGTCCAGGGATCTCAGGACTGAGCCACATATTTTATCAAAGAGTCCTGTGAAACTTTACCTTCCTTTATAAGAGAGCTGCTTCAGATAAATCTGCTTGGTACCCTTCCCGCAAGTACAGTGCGTTTGTCCTGGTTGTGCAGTGTTAACCACTGCGGCCTTGTCTGTTCTCCTGGTTTGTCATTATCCAGAGCTGCCGAAACTGTTACACAGAAGGGTCTTTTTTAGTAAATTGTATATTCTCTCTCTCTCTCACACGCATATAATGACAGAATAATCTGTTAACATCTGGTCTAGCGCTCTGTTTTCTGTTTGCAAATCCAAACAGAGGATGAGCTCTGAACTAGCATAAATGCATTGTTTTGTTGTAGAGAAACCAGAGAGGACAAGATCGCTGTCCCAAACCCTTCCAACCTAAGCCAGTAATTCTCAGCCAGGGTGTAGTGGTACCCTGGGGTGCTGTGAGACCCTTTTAGGGGAGCTGTGGAGTGCCACGTAATGTTAGCACTGTTAAATAGGCCGACGTCATTCACAAGGTCAACCCAGAATCTAAAAAGGTTGAGAACCACTAATCTAAGCACACGGGCTCAGAAATAACTCCACACCTCAGCTCACCCTGTAGCAACACAGAGTTTCAGAGGCTTTAATGCCCATGTGCACACTCTTCAGCAAAACTGGGGTGAGCAACTTCACATGTATGAACAGGCAATGAACAGCCACGCATGCAGGTGCCACGGAGTAGCCAATACACTGAGAGCTCACACGCGAGCTTACCTTGCTCAATCATGTGTCCATACTTTAGAAAGCCATTTGAGTTGCCGGGAACACTGCTAAATGCACAGGGCCTGATTCATCCTCCTCTGAAACCAACTGGAATTTCTCCTAGGGGATCCCTTCCAGCCTTGCACACTCCTGAGGAGCTCGTGAATCTTGTCCCAGCTATTGCAGGTAACCACACCACATAGTCTTACCCATACACTTACCGAGCCCCGTTCTAACACTAGTCTGCCTCTTTGCTCCCACGTCTTACGTTTCACCTGTTCCAGAACTTCACTCCTCTAACAAGCTCCCTCCTCGCTGCCAGACTAAATTAATTCATAGCATGTCAACACCTAGTTTTCCTTTAAAACTAAGTGTTGACATGCTAACTTAAACTTAAACAGCTCTTTTCCCTCCCTGGCATTTGTAAAGAAAATTCACGTCCTTTCTCAGCTTCTGCTTTTCTCGGCCAAGTAACTAACAGGCGTTGGATCAGGCCCACATATCGCATTGGCATCAGCCCCCCCGGTTCAATGATCTCGAGGTAGAAGTGTGCGGAGGCGGGAGGTGGAAACAGATGTACCAAAATCGACAGAACATACAGGGCCAAACTCACCTGAATGTCCTTCCCTTCACTGCAGTGATGTCTTATCCGGTAACACCAGGGCTGTATATAACCCACCCTGCATATGTATTACAGTCCCATCTGTTTAAATGCATTTGATAACTGCTTAGTTTGATTAGCAGCAGCGAGCAGGGAAAGGTGACTTTGCAGGCAATGTCTTTTCTCAGGCTGATCCACCCGCACCAAGTGAGACCTGTTGAGAGTGACATGGGTTTCCCCTAGGCAAAGAGATGCAAGGTCTCTGATAAGCAGGGCACCAATTTCACAGGCTCCCAAAATGATTCAGTTACTTATGCAATGCCTGCCCCCAAAATCAGAAACCCGCCCCATGACAGACAGCAGATTTGTAGCCTTCTTCTTGCCGGTATAAATAGACCACGCTTTAAATCTAATTTAAAGCAGACTGCATCATGCGGCTGCTAAAACAGGAGCTGCTGTTTGGCAGCCGTGAAAGGAGAGAAACAATGCAGGATGAGCTGACACCTTTTTACAATCAAAAGTGACTGCACCAGGGGGTTGAGTCACGGAGGAAGGAAGGGGAGGGTAACGAAGCCACATGCCAGTGATTTATGCAAATGTCCTAATGCAGATACTTTCCCTGCGGATAATTCTGGTGGCAGTCATTTCAATTGTGATTGGAAGCTAGAGCTAGGAGCTTCATAAAGCATCTCCGGAGTGCTTTGCTCAGCAAGAGATAGCTTTCTAGTTCAGACACCAGACCCTCCTTTCTGCATGGGAATGCCAGGACATCAGGGCCAGCACTGCCTCCTGGGCGATTAGAGCTGTCCTTAAAATAATAAATAAATCTATGCACCTTTGATTAATTCTGGCTGAGAGCGAATGTCTTTCAAGTGGATTTTGAGCTCTTCAAGACAAGGACAGTGTTTCCTCACGTGTTTATATAGAGCCGAGAAGAAAACAGTCAGAAGCTGCCTGGTGCTGGGTTTGCAACGGACCGTTACCGAGTCCCTGGTTAGGCGTGAAGAAGAATAGGGTTTTGGTTTGCAATTTTTTTTTAGCTGTGGATGTCAAGCAGGGGACCGACCTCTTGACATCCATCCGAGAAGCAGCATCTACAAGCATGGTCCCAGGTCCCTTTAGGGATTTCCAGTCAGTCCTTGACCCCAGCCAGGTTCCTCTTTGAGGGAGTGCTGAAGGGAAGACCTTGATCTCACCCCCAGCCAGCACCCAACTGGGTTGGACTCTTTCCTTTCAAGCCATTCTTCCAACCCTGATATCTTCTATAAAAAGTAACCCAGAAGAACTGACTGAGCCCATGACAGTCCTCTGGCCCCTTCCCATTGCACTGGGGGACGGGATGCTACATCGCAGGGCTGGAGCTTGACGATGTTGCAGCAAAATAAACACAGGCCACAAGAGTGAATTTGCAGTGATGCTGGCGTAATTTAGTATTATTCAAGTAATGGCACTTCCACAGCATCTCTGCTGCCGATACCCCAGGGACAGGCATGGCTGAAGTGGAGAGACAGATCTCAAAGAGAATCAATGAGAAATTCTCAGCTGCGTTAACTCTTTCACATAAGCAGAGTTTCAGATTTTGACCCAATAATTAAATTTTGTGGCATCTGAATGAGAAGGCAAGTATTTCTAATTTATTCTTACAGACTGGAAAAAAATGAGTCAATACGGGGCCTAGTTACCTGTCTAAGGATTGTACTAAAAGTCTGGGTCAGAGACAGACTTAGAGCACAGTTCCC